CAAGTCTAGCCATCTTCCACTGAAAACTCAGTTTCTAGCCACAAGTACAACTTGAAAGGCTCCAATTATTGCATGCAAAATTGTGAACACAATGGAACCAGTCTCTAGAGTCATCCACTCTACTCAAACTGCAGTTATATTGATTAAACGAACCGACAACATGTGCTTCATTAGCCCTCTGACCCGCAGAATGTAACCTCATTCCAATATAACCAAGCAACTTCCTGCCCTATGCACCGAGCATCCCTTACCAACAACAAGTCAAGTCATTCCCGGATTCTCATACACCCATAAAGCATAACATAACCTTCATTGAAATTTCCTTTACTCGAGCCATAACTGATTCACAAATACGCCTCGAACTGGAACCATTATAGCACATAACCGTGCAATCAACTATTCAATAGCAGACTCCCCCACTTGGCTCGAAGCCATAGATCAAAACACACACCATAATTCATAACGCACATACTTTATTCTGCCATAATACCATAGTGAGATTCACTCAACCCTTCCTAAGCACGTGGAACACAGACCATCTGGTACTTCATATCTTCTGCAAATCTCGCATTTACTCTCGTAGCAATTAGACTCACTCTCTTGAGCGACCCAAATTAAATTCACACATATATTTCACTTGTAACTGAGATCTTCTAACCGACAACATAAGGATCACACAACTCCAGAACACTTCGCAGTAGATAACCCACGTGCTTCGCCTAAAACTAACATTTATATATACCTTCCACCGTCATAACCATTATGCAGTCACTTAGTCTTCCTGAGTCTGAACTCATAACGTAACATTGAAATTTACTTCACTCCCAACTAGGAAACATGAAAATATTCTTCACACACCCATAACTCAGGGCTATACATCCAATCACAATGGAAATCAAACACCTAATAAATCATCTATCCTCCAGCAGACCCTTCTCGTCGCTTCCAAATCACATGATCACATCTCGCAGTCACATCACCCTCATCACGTACTAACCAGTCATTACTTCCCTTAATAGGGGCACAACAGTACATACAGATCCAGAAACACGTGTTCACGCAAGCAACCGCTCAAGGCTCAAGCTATAGGTAACAATCCGGCCTCAAGTCTTTCTAGTCTGGCCCAACATCAACACACAGAGATCACATCTTGCCCCTCAACCAGGGAATCACAAGCCATCGATGCACATCTGATACTGAGCGCTCGCTCGCGCATACGAATGCGTGGAAGGAGTTCAAAGAGTTATTTTTTTCAAGCTGAATCAAGGACGCATTTCAAGAATATGGAGCTTTCCTAAAGGTTCTGCAGCCTCTCGAGGATAAATAGAGACGTCTCCGTACCGATCCGCGAGACTCTACTAAACCTGCTCATGACTCGTGAGACCTATGTAACCTAGGCTCTGATACCAACTTGTCACGACCCTAAACTCAGACCTGGCCGTGATGGCGCCTCTCGTGAAGACAAGGCCAGCCGACACAACACCCATATTAACCCTTTAATCATTAATAGCCATTTCAAAGCCTTTAATTAAACAAATGTTTCATAATATAAGTCTAAATAAACAGTGCAGAAATAACATACAAGCCCGACATCGGGGTGTCACTAGTCATGAGCATCTACTACAACTATCTAACCACATCAAGACCGAAACGGTCAGAAAGTCATAAGAATACATAAGGGAGGATAAAGAGGGAGAAAACAAAGCCGCGATCGCCAGGCAGCTACCTTGCTAACTCCAATGAAAACTGCCACCAAGCTCGGAAAATACCTGAATCTGCACACAAGGTGCATGGAGTAATGTGAGTACTCCAACCCAGTAAGTAATAAGAGTAAATAAAGACTGAGGAGTAGGAAACGATGAATCCACATTTATGATAAACTCAATAAGCACAACAGGTTTTCAAAACAGAATACGAGTCAATCGTCTCATTTAAATTCTAGCTTTTGGTAAAAATCATTTCAAAATACCTTCCAACAATTTCAGTAGGGGTTCAATACCATTTATAATAAAGGAGATGAAAACCATAATCGGCCCCTTGGGCAAAACTTAGTTCGTAAACAGCCCCTCGGGCAAAACAGGAATCATAAACACCTCATAACATGGAAATCTCAGTGGAAATAACAAAGCCAAATCAATGATTAAATTCTGAACATCTCGTAAAACCCCAGCTTAAATGAAAGTTGTTTATAAAACATTTGTTCAATATTTTCGATAGAGGCTCAGTATAAAGATGAGTGTAAATCAACATATTCGATAAAAACTCACTTTAAAAAGGAGTGAAAATCAATAAGTTCATAAGCAGGCCCCTCAGGCAACTCATCACTCATGTCATGTATGTATATATCTATCGCCCCTCTGGCAGGCCTCTCAGTCACTCGCGGCTCAACTCATACCAATCAGCGCTCCCACTCAGCACACAATTCAATAGGTACCATATAGTAACCGCTGCGGTGCGCAACCCGATCCATATATCGCTGCGGCGTGCAGCCCGATCCATGAATATAGTCGACTGCGCTCACTGGGGGTGTGCAGACTCCGGAGGGGCTCCTTCAGTCCAAGCGTTATATCGCTGCGGCGTGCAGCCCGATCCAATGTATTGCTGCGGCGTCCAGCCCTATCCATATACATATAATGCTCATAACGAGGCCCTCGGTCTCTCTCAGTCATTAACCTCATAACCAGACTCACGGTCTACCTCAGTCATCAACCTTACGATCACTCGGACCATCAATAAAACAGGGAACTCAGCCCAAACGGTTTTAACATTTTTAAGAAGTAAAGTGATAAAACAGATTTAAACAATAAACAGGTAAAACAAGACTGAGGATATGTTTTCAAACAAATAGAGTGAGGAAAAATAGTAAAAATGCCCCTAAGGGTCTCAACAGGTCGGCACAAGGCCCCAAACATGGCATACAACCCAAATTATAATATCAATCTCTAAAATATGGAATATCATAAGATTTCAAATCAAATACGCGACTTAACAGTCGTACGGGACGGACCAAGTCAGAATCCCCAACGGTGCACGACTCCACGCTCGTCATCTAACGTGGGGGTCACCCCAAAGTAGCACAACGATGTGAAATCCAGGGTTTCAAATCCTCAGGACAGTATTTACAATCATTACTTTCCTCGATGCGGTCCAAACTCTAGCCCGCGATGCCTTTGCCCTCACGAATCAACCTCCGGATGCTCCAAATCTAGCCACAATCAGTACATAATCATTAAAATATGCTAAGGGAACGAAGCCCACTCGAAAATATCCAATTTAACATCAAAATCCCGAAATTGCTCAAACCCGGCCCCCGGGACCACATCTCGAAATCCAATAAAATTAACATCAATAGAATCCTCATCCTCTCACGAGTTCATACATATCAAGAACATCAAAATCGGACCTAAAATGGCCCCTCAAATCCCCACTCAATGGTCTCTTAATCCAAGCCCTAATCCCTCAATTTTCTTCCTTAATTTCCACTAATGCCACGATTAAACAATGGAAAAATGATCATAAACATGAGTAATGAGGCTTAGAGAACTTACCCAACTGATTCTCTTCGATTCTCCCTTGAATTCACTGCCCCAGCTCGCTTCCCGTCTTCAAAAATGGAGAACTTAGCAAAAATTTCACGAAGGAACACTATATACTTCTGACCCAGGTATTTCCGCACCTGCGGTCCCATTACCGCTTCTGCGGTCCCGCTTCTGCGACTTTTCCATCGCACCTGCGGTCTTCATTAAAATGACAAATTTCCGCATCTGCGGTTAAACACTCGCACCTGCGCTACCGCAGGTGCGCCCACAACACCGCTTCTGCGATTCCTGAAGGACTCCACATTGGCCGCATCTGCGGCTGCTCTTCCGCACGTGCGGCGCCGCACCTGCGGTCCCCAAACCGCAGGTGCGAAAACACCAACAACAGCAAAAACTTCAGCAGCTTCTAACTTCAAAAATGGTCCGATTGACCACCTGAAACTCACCCGAGGCCCCCGAGACCTCAAGCAGAGGCACCAACATATCCAAAAACCTTATTCAAACTTGTTTCAATCATCAAAATACTTCAAACAACATCAAATCCACCAAAACACCTCAGATTCAAGCCTAAGCTTCTAAAAACATCCGAATTTCGCTTTTGATCAAAAACCCAACCAAACCACGTCCGAATAACCTGAAATTTTGCACACACATCACAAATGACACAACGAAGCTACTGCCACTCTTGGAATTCCATTCCGACCCTTATATCAAAATCTCGCCTACCAACCGGAAATCGCCAAAATCTCAATTTCGCCAATTCAAGCCTAAACCTTCCACGGACTTCCAAAATGCATTCCGATCACGCTCCTAAGTCCCAAATCACCTAACGGAGCTACCAAATCATAACAATTCCGATCCGAGATCGTATACAAGCAAGTAAAATATTGGTCAAACCTTTCAAATTCCAAGCTTCAAACAAACCAAATCCAACGGTTTACATAAGTCATAATATGCTACACGGGGCAAGTCATGCCCGAGAACTGGCGAGCAAAGTGCAAAAGCTCAAAAAGACCGGTCGGATCGTTACTGATGATTTGCCTGCAGGAGGATCATCGAAGGTTGGAGAAAGAGATAGAAAGCTGACTAGAGTATGGGGTAGAGGGGCTGTGTATATCTATTCCAATCGGGGTGATAGCTCGACTCGGCAAATGGGAGAAATATCAAATCGCGTGGGAGAGGGGGTCCCACCCTCTTCTATTAGCTTGACACGCTTTCCAACACTAGTAGATAAGTAAGGACCATTAAATAACCAACTAGACATTTTATTATGCTAAAATTTATTTTTCATTCAATTTCAAAATTCGAACATAAACACTACTACCCATATATAAATGAATATCAATGACTAATACTTGAGGTTCAATGATTTCTATCATCTAAAGCTCAATCAACTGAATTGAAAACATTTTCTTAGACCTTTGATCCACAATTACAAACATATATTGATCTTGAGTGAACTCATCTACAAAAACTGTTGATATATTTTGTAATGAGCTGATCAACAATGGTTGTGTAAGCCTTCTCAGTGGGATGATAACTATCCCAAAAAATATACTTTGTATCATCTTCACATGTTCCACTAAATTTGTTGCATAGTAATGTCACCTCTATTTTTCCTGTGCCACAACACCCTTTCTCTGCTTCTTCAAATCCTACAACCATTAATTCATAATCACAAAATTAATAAAAGAACACAAGAAAATAAAAGAAAAAAGATGAAGAAGCTCAAAAAAGTCTAGAGATATGATAAATAAATGGACCTTGATCTAACTCAACCGTAAATTTAGCTTTTTAGTTCATGAGATGAAGATTGTCCAAAACTGGTGGCAAAATGGATTAAAAAAATAGTTATCCATCCATATTATCCACTAAAAAATGGGTTGGATAATGAGCTTTTAAAAAATGGGTCAAATATGGGAAAAAAAATCATATTATCCACTTAGAAAATGGATAATCAATGGATAACCAATGGGTTTAATTTTCACATTTATAAGGACTAAAATTTTGGGCTCCTCAAATTTCAAAATGTGGGAGACTAGAAATTCTCCCAAAAGTGATCATATTCAAGAAGCCATGGATAATATGGATATCCATTTTTTTATCCGTATTAAATTTATACGTTTTTTGATACCCATTTTTGACCCGTCCATATCCGACCCAATCCCATGTTTGCTACCCCTACCCACAACCATTTAAAGAACCAAATATTAACATCCAACCCGGTGTGGGAACTCAACAATATATGAGTTTATAGAAGATTAATGAGTGTTATACCATATTTTTGGGGGTTAAGAATGAGATCAAGTAGAGGACTATAGATATCAACTAAAACCATCCTGGATTGAGGCAAGTTTTTGGATAAAGAATCAATTGCAATAGAGAATTTGGTGTTGGCAGCTTCGTTGTATTCTTGAACACACACTCTATTAAGCCCTCCACCAAGTGTTCTTTGTGATGGCAAACATCCTATTGGTGGAATTCCGAAAATCAAATATTTTCTTGCTCCCAACTTGTACAATTCCTTGGGAAAAAAAAAAAATTGGATCAGTATATGTGTAATTTACTGAAAATTTGTTTTGTTATCAATGGTATTATAAAGAACAATCTAATTTACAATGGAATTCATTCGTTTTGAGAGACAACTATTAAGTGTCCATTCAAATGTCAATATACTTGTTAAGGATCCTTTAGATTTTATCAAGACTAAGATAAAGATATTGTAACTATATTTAAATATTGAATAATTAAAGAGGTTTGTTTTCTTTTAATACAAGAATTTGTAAAATTTTCTTTATCTAAAAAAGAAAAATTTTAGAAATTCAAAAAAATTAATAATGAAGATTATATTTGTGAAATATTAAATAAATAAAGTGATATGTAAATTACTTTTTTATTCAATCACAATCTAAAAGCTAGCGACGGTGGCAAGTGATTAGCTCTGCGGTGTCGTACAGTGTTGAGTGGTGCTGGTTGTAGTTGGTAGAGGAGCTTAGTGATGGTGGTTGTGGATGACGGTCAGACGTGATGAATGTATGATGCAAGTGTCTATGGTGAGTGCTAGCAGTCTCTCACATCGGTTAAGGAACGAGGGACTTGGTCTCTTTATATATGGCTTGGTCAATTCTAACTTCATAAGCTAACTTTTGCGGTTGAGTTAAACCAAAGATCTATTTCTTTTTATTATGTTATCAGAGCGAAACTCAACCCAATTCTTGTTTTATTGATATTGGGCCCCCATATTATATTATCCATACTCCGAGCATGCATGGGGTGTTGAGTCTCCCGCCTGGACTAATTTTTTTCAAAACTCTCAGTCATAAAAAATAACCATAAATTTGAAAGTAAGCATAGAGGTATAAATACTAACTTTGAGAAATTTAGAAGCTTTAGCCACCATTAGATCAGTATATGAGTTAATATCTTGCTTCAAGCGAATTCCAGCGGTGAAGTAAGTATTGGCTAGATCGTCAGTGCCAGCAACCACCATAAATAAGCTATTTTTCAGAATATTATTAGCTTCTTCTTCCCCAACTAAACCTTTCAACTTCTCAATATATTCTTTGAACTGCGTTAATTGTGTTGATAGAGGTATGGCTTCCTATTTAACATAAATTTAAGAAGAACAAAAAATAGGACCGAAGTATTAGTGTTCCTTTCTACTTTTTTTATTTACAAATGTAGGGCAGCCCGATGCGCTAAGCTCCCGTTATGGTCCGGGAAAGGACCGGACCGCAAGGGTCTATTGTACGCAATCTTACTTTACATTTCTGCAAGAGGCTGTTTCCACGGTTCGAACCCGTGACCTCCTAATCACAAGACAACAACTTTACCAGTTACGCCAAGGCTCCTCTTCTTCGACAAGATTAAAGTTGCTAATTGGAAAAGATTACTCTAACCCAACGGAAAATATAATAAGTAAAAAGTTACCGCGATAGTAGCTGTTTGAGGATCATATCCACAACCTCCAGATGCAAAGCTTACTCCGGTTTCTATATCTTCTGTTTTCAAATTTGGATCTAAATAATCTGGCACGAGCTCTTTTATCCCCACTTCTTCCGCTAAAATGGACAAACACAAGAGTCATGTCAAACTTGGATGATGTAGCTTATTAGCTATGCATTTGATTGAATCCAGTATTTTGACATAGAATGTACGCGCGCGCACACACACACATATATATATACTAGTATCTATGAACGTGCGTTGCACGTTAATAATGGCACGTGATGGTTTAAACATTTATTTATATGAAGTAATAATAAAATTTAATTAATGAAAGAAATTTTATGTATAATAATACAACAATCATCTAAATGCTGAAAAATATTATTACATTAGCATAATACATGAATTTAAAATAAAAGGACATCATCAAAACTTACACAAGTGATCAATTTTATCATGTTAGTTAGATATTATGTATTACTTCCTCAGGTCCACTTTAAGTGGTTTTTTGGTTGCTTTCACACATTTAAGGAATCCACCTTTCAACATTAATTAACAATGTAATTAACCATATTAACCTTAAAGTGGACCGGAGGGAGTATAGCTTAATAGTATTTAATGTGATGGTATCTTACTGAATACTTCTTTGTGGACGAAAATTTTTTGTGTGTATGTTTCCTCCTAATGATTTGGTTGCTCTGCCTTAACCAGAACTCTGGTTGTCGATCTTGGTATCCCTCTTGAAAGTGGAACATACAGTTGTTCGTGCAAGAAAATATATTGCGGTAAATATTGTTCAATATTTAGGATGTTTGTCCTTGTGCTTTATTTATTGTATTTGCAAAACATAAATATGCTAAAACTATTTTCACACAAAATTAAAAAGATATTCCTTAGTTTTGGAAGATCAAAATTGAATTTATGGATAAGAATATACTTAGAAGCATGTTGACCAGTATCATAAATTTTGCATGTATAACGTTATTGTAAAAACTTCTATATACCATTTGTGTGTTATTACAAAAGCTATTCAGCGTATCTAAGTTTTTCAGTAGCATGACAGACATATTTTCTTCAAAATCAACCTATATATAATGGAAGATCAATTTTAACTTAGTCTATTATATATATATAGTGACACTAACATACGTAAGAAATAATAAACTTGACAACAAATATATATGGTAGAAGGACATTTGATATTAAAGTATTTAAGTATTCTTCTTGGTAGTAATTATTGGTATTATTTTCTGTTAAGTCAAAACCTGAAAAACATTTTGTTTTTACTATAAAATTTTGCAATCAACCTTTTATTTAGTTGATCAACATATTCATTTCTGCTAGCTAAGATTGCTTTTTAATTCTAACATGCGATTTGCCTAAATTGCGTTTTAATATAGTGATAGAAATATTTACCTTATTAAATGCACTACTATTATCATTGGGGTTGATAATCAAGTATTGAGGAAGAACCAAATCATCTTTTATTGGATGCTCTTCTTCGTTTCTGGCACGAAGCAAGAAGACACTGAATACCGAATCTGTTTTTACTTTATATTTCTTGTCAGTTGAATCTTTTTCATTGAGACCAGAAGTATAACTTTGGCAAGCTAGCTTTTACAATCTATGCCTTTGTCGATTTTGGAACTACTGGTAGTACTTATAGAAATCACCTCCCAAATCATAAATTTTTTACCAAACGGTTCATTAATATCCCATAAATCTCTAGAACTCCAGGCAATTGTTTCGATTGTTTGACACTTACCATAAGTGCTTCGTCCCATATTATTAATTTTATTTTCCTTATAAATTTAGCATCATTGCTCTACTTTGTCATATTTGTGATGGTTATTTAATTTGTTTGAAGAGGTATATCAAATATAAAGTGGGTGGCCTCACAATAAAATCGTTATTGGTACACCACTTGCTATTATTGCTAACATTATCATGCCTCTTGATATGATATTTGCAAATAATTCATGATATAGAAATATTATTTTGATTCTGTCGGAGGCATCTACAAAGAATAATTCCGCAATACCAGAGTCGACTCTTTGTAATATTGTCTTGAAAGCTTGTTCTTGTTTAGGACTTAGCTTTAATTGTACTCCTCAGACACTTGTATAACATTTTGATTCTTAATAATATACTAACCTTTTTACTTTGTATTCTAATTTTTAAAATCTCTAACGCTCTTTTTATGAAATAATTTGTGTATCCCAAGATTTTTTTTAAACTTGAATAAGAATTTTACTCATATGATGAATTTAAAAAATAATTAAATTGGATTCTCTTGCTAAATAATTAATTAAAAATCTAATTATTTGGTTTTAACATAAAAAATAATTTATTCTATGTTGATGCAGATCTTAATATTAATTCATCTCTTGTTTTGAATATTTAATCTTAATTATAATTTTATCCACCATAAATGTTATTTTGAAAAAGTAAAAGATTGATATGACATCTCACTTTAGATCTTTATGTTTGTAGAATCATTAGCGGTATTGACTCTTACCAACTATTTTTTTTCTCTTTCTCACATATTTATATTCTTAAATATTTTCTTAGTTATTTTTTAATAATTGGGTATTTTTCAGTATTACACAAAAAATTGATAAAAAATATTATTTGAGTAGGAAAATAGTTCAAACATAATATAAAAATATATTATCTTGGGGATATCTTTTCCCTCAATTTCAACTCTTTATGCAGTATATTTAATATTGCTTTTATTTTTTTTGGTTCTGAACATTATGGAGTGGTAATGTATTGCCAATACGGAGGATTCTTATGAAATTGATTTTATTAAACCTTCCTACATATTTTTAATAAGAATTTAATAGACAAAATTTTATTAATTTTAAAATTTTAAATATTAAAAATTAGCATAGAAGTCATTGTAATCCATAAAATAGGTTATTGCAGTTACGTCCTTTCCCTATGAGTTATTTTTCCCTATGAGTTCTTTCATTTAATATTTTAAGTCTATTTTAGTCTATTAATATTATATTAGCGGTATTGGCTCTTACCAACCTTTTTCTTTCTTTTTTCACACATTTATATTCTTAAAAAATTTCTTAATTGTTTTTAAATAATTTGGTATATTTTTATATATTACACGGAAAATTAATAACTAAAAAAATATTATTTGAGTAGGAAAGCAGTTCAAAATATAATATAATAATATATTATCGTGGGAATTTTTTTCTCAATTTCAACGCTTTATGCAATTCGTTTAATATTTCTTTTATTTTTTATCGGTATTGAATATTATAGAGTGGTAATGTATTACCAATATTGAGAATTCTTATGAAATTAATTTTATTAAGCCTTCCAAATCCATCTAGAAAAAGGAGAGCCTATATTATATTATATTATATTATATTATATTATATTATATTATATTATATTATATTATATTAGTAAAAGTATGAATACGATATTGATAGACTAAAATAGCCCTAAAATATTGAACAAAATAACTTTATGGGAAGGGATATAACTGTAATAACTTATTTTTGGAGTATAATACCTTTTATGTTAAAACTTTTTTAATATTTAAGATTTTAAAATTAATAAAATTTTATCTATTAAATTCTTATTAATAATATGTATGAATATTTAATAAAATTAATTTCATAATAATTCTCTTTATTGGCAATACATTACTATTCTTGTGAAAAAGGAAAAAAGTAGATTCAATGATTAGATATTTAACTTGGACTTCACATGACTTTTTAGTCTTTGTGCTAAAACAAACCTAAACAAATATAAAACAAATCATGGATAACATATACGAACAAAACAAACTAAAAAGTGAATTAATTTTGANAGTACTTCGGCTGCGGATCGACAATGAAGGGAGAAGCAGCTCACAGTAGAAGTCCCACGCCTGCTCACGACTGCGCACCAGAGAAGTGACCAGATCCACCTGCCTCAAACCCTGTACATTTAAGTACAGAAGCGTAGCATGAGTACATAAACAATATGTACCTAATGAGTATCCCGTCTAATCTCAAAGAAGTAGAGACGAGAGGTCGACTTGATACTCACTAGGGTCAAATAATATTTTAAGTATGATTTCAACAATAAAGAAGTATTCGATGCACAGCAGTTTACAACAGATATGTAATTCATAACCTCACTAGAATCCTGGCAAGTCAAGTTCTATAGTTACATTTATCAATTCATTTTAGCCTATGGAAGGCAATATCAACATTTAACATTCTCAGGCAAAGCTATATAAGCATGCGCAAACATGCCGAGGCGACGGCCCGAACCAACAGAAATAAACTGTGCACTTGCCAAGGGTCGACGACGCGCCTATAGATGCATCTATTACCCCGCTCGCGAATCATCCATGCGACGCGGTCAAATATAAATAAGTTCATAGTCAAGCAACAACAACAATCAATACACATATGAGGGTGACTATACAAAGAGATGCCAATTATTTCCTTTTTAAAGTGCCAATGGATTTAGGTCATTTTCCAAATCCTTTCTTCTTAGTCAAACGGGTTCATATAAATCCAAGATAATCAATTATAATAGAAAATCACGTAAAGCATGCGCATGGGTCCTAAACTACCCAGACTTAGCATAATAGTTGCTACGCACGAACTCTCGTCACCCAGTACGTACGTAGCCCCCCGAACACAATGACAACTACTTCAATTATTAAACCTATGGGGACATTTCCCTCTTACAAGGTTAGAAAGGAGACTCACCTCGCTCCAAAGCACGCTCCCGATATCAAGAATAAGCCCAAGCTCCTAATTCGAAGCCGAACGATCGCAAACTAGTTAAAATAGGTAAGAACTAGTCAATAAAGGCTTAAAAGGCCGAATTCTAACTATTTAAGTAATTTCCCAACCTTTCCCACAAGTTTCCTAAATTCTGACCCTGGGCCCACGCGCCCGGATTCCAATATTTTTCGAAGGAAATTGTTCTCTACAACCTATGGATCAATAATATATGATTTCTAGTCCATTTCATAACAAATTCCATGCTTAAATCTTAGTTTTTGCTAAAACCCTAGGTCTAGATCTAACCCTTGAGTTTTACCAAATTTTAGTGTTTAATCTACCTAATGCTCATGTAATTTAACTTATAATGGAAGGAGATTACTTACCTTGCAATAATATGCTGAAACTCTCTCTTTGGAACCACCAAAATCGCCTAAGTGTAGAGTGAAAAATGATAAAATGAGGTTTGAGTTCGTATTAAATGAAGGGTCTGCTCCCAGCTATTTCCGCTTCTGCGGAGCATTTACCGCTTCTGCGGTCTTGGCCCAAATTGGCTGGACCGCTTCTGCGGTCAAATAGCCGCTTAAGCGGGACCGCTTCTGCGGTCTCAAGATCGCATTTGCGATTTTGCCTGAGCTTCCCCTGACCGCTTCTGCGGATTCCGGACCGCATCTGCGGTACCGCTTCTGTGGTCCTAGAACCGCAGATGCGGTTATGACAGAAGCAGCAGACTCAGCACTTTCTAAGTTTTTCTACTTCGCTCGAACCTCGATTATTTGACGCTCGGGGCTCCCGAGCCCCGCCCGAACATACCAACAAGTCTGAAATCACGAGGCGGACCTACTCGAATCCTCGGAACTCCCAAAACAACGCTAATTCTTAGAATCACCCCCTAAAACCAAATGAATCAAACTATTGAATGCTTAAGTTCTAAATTCTCCTCTAACGGGTCAAAACGCCCTTAAACTACTCGGATTGACACCAAATTTTACGGGCAAGTCTTAAATGACCTTACGGACCTGTACCAAGCTTCGGAGCCAAAATCCGAACCCGATACCTATGGAATCAATGATTACTTAATTTCTTTAATTCCCTAAAGCTTCAATTAAACAATTTAGATAAAAATTCATTACTCGGGCTAGGGACCTCGGAATTCGATTCCGGGCATACACCCAGGTCCCATATTTTCCCACGGACCCTCAGAAATTGCCAAATCGGGAATCCGGGTCCGTTTTCCCAAAATGTTGACCGAAGTCAAACTTGGTCTTTTTAAGAAATCTTAAAGAAGCAAATGGGCATATTTTTACTCAAAACTCTTCCAATCCCCGAACCAATCGCCCCCGCAAGTCGTAAATTAGTTAAAGCAAGTACGGGAGGCTTTATTTAGGGGAACGGGGTTCAAAAAGGCGAAACGACCGGTCGGGTCGTTACAAGTAGGATTAAGCTTCTTTGCTGTCGTGTTTTATTTTCCTCTATCATTGGTAAGTCTTCACACCAAAATATTGATGGCACTCTGATCATAAATAAATATGTAACTGCAAAGAGAAGTACATATAATGGTGAGAGAAATAGAAAATTAATATTTGTGTAGTTCAAATAAAGGGTCTGAGGACTAAGATAGAGATTAAGTATACATTCAAATTATGATAAGACTATCTTTTTTCTTTTTCATGTGCATGGTGCACTGACCGACTTTATGTATTCCAAAAATAAATTATTATTCAAAATAAATAATATTAATATCAGATAAAGTTGCAACCACTATTAATTAAATTGGGAGTTTAGCTTTTAAGTGAGATGAAATGTATACTATAGAAAGGATAGAAACGTACCTAATATTGACTCTACTATACGTTAAGAAATTACTAAGTTACCAAACGAACAAAGATGACCCGAATTTAAAGGAGTATTAGATATATATATATGCTAACATGTGGTATTATATGTCTATGCCCGAAAATAATTATATTAATAGGATTTTTAAAGGTAAATCATATAGGATTCCGAACATGTAATATTATGTCCTAAAACTAATAGGATTATAAGGCTAATATCTAGAATTCCGATTATGTCCTTTTATTATGAATTATTATACTTAATATTATAAGACATTGTATTCATATTTAATATATATATATATATATATATATATATATATATATATATATATATATATATATATATATATATATATATACACGAGCTCTTTTATCCCCAGTTCTTCCGCTAAAATGGACAAACACAAGAGTCTTGTCAAACTTGGATGATGTAGCTTATTAGCTATGCATTTGATTGAATCCAGTATTTTGACATAGAATATACACGCGTGCACACACTCTCACACACACACACACACATATATATATATATATATATATATACACACACACACGAGGTCTTTTATCCCCAGTTCTTCCGTTAAAATGGACAAACACAAGAGTCTTGTCAAACTTGCATGATGTATTATTAGCTATGCATTTGATTCAATCCAGTATTTTGACATAGAATATACACACGCGCGAGCGCGCGCACGCGCACACACACACACACACACACATATATATATATATATGAGTAAATTTTAACAAAATGTCATAAAATTCAGATCCTTGACCCAAATTCGCTTGCACTTATAGGTTTTCAAATACTATTTATATGACACACTTTCCTTATTAGCTCGTCCAAAAAGAATGAAATTTTTATATATTTGAAAAGAATTTAACTTTAAACTTTCTATTATATATTTATTATACCCTTATGAAGCATTTATAACTATATACACAAATGTTATTGAATGTTTAACTATAGCTATATACCGAATGACTTGAGTAGAGTGGCACCAAGGTTGACTCGGATAAGGATTTATCAATTATGTGTTGTGCTACGCCTGAATGATGCATGGAGACTTCCGAATGACATATGTAAATCACAAATTTAAAAAAGTAAATTGCATCACATAAATTGAAACGGCGGGAGTACCTATCAAGTCGGTTGGCGTCTTGCCATTGCTGAACCTTCCTGTTGGATCTCCACCCATGAAATCCTTACCATAAGGCTGAAAATTACACTTTATTAGCGTTGTTATATTGTTATTATTTCCTTGATCCACAATTGAATCTCCAAAAGCAAACACTGCCTTAAAAATCACGTTGTGTGCGAGCTTCACATTTGCTTCACATACACTAAAAAACACAAAAGTAACATAGAGTAAAACCTTGACCATAGGCAGCAAACACTTTACCATACCAAAAGAAAACATTGTATATAACTTCAAAACACTTCCTTTTCAAGAAATCAAACATTTGTACTTGACTAGTTATAGTAGTCGGGTTTGTATAATTGTATTTGCTTTGTAGTACACTTAGTTGTTTGATAACATTGATTGTTAGGGGCGTTAGGAATAGGTGTCAAATAGGTTTGTTAATAGTGGCGGCGTAATTATATATGATGGAGTGTTAGTTATTGTACTGTTTAGCTTTATTAATAGAAGTAGAGGAATATGAATGAACGTCCTTTTTTGGGGAGATTGATTTTATGATTCATTATAAATTGTCAAGATACACTATAAGCCATGCGTATCGTTATAGTATTTTTCATGGAACAATTATTTGTTTATTTATTCAATTTAATAAAGTTTTATTTTAAATAGATCATGTATTTGTTTGTATGTCCGTTGCTTATATAGTAGATGGTTTAGTGTATAGAGTTTAGCTTATACACGGAAAATTAAATCATCGGTTCTTATGAGTCATAAAGTTTATGTTCACAATCTAATGATGGAATTGGACAAACCATCGGAATGGTTGTAGCACAAGATTAAATATAATTTATCTTGATTATGGGAATGGTTTAATTCCAACTTCTTGTGCTAGTACATTTTGTATGTATTAAACGGATCAAGTAGAGATAGGTATTTTATGCTGACTTAATAAAATAATTTTTCTAGTCCATTCAATGTACTTATACTCTTAATCTTGATATAATTATTGTTAGTTGTGTATATCATTTATTGTTTTGATTTATTAAAAGGCGAGATTCTTTCGTGGGTCAATAAGCCTGGTAATTTGGACAATAATGATATACATTGGCGAAGTAATAATCAGTTGATAGAATTCATGTCTCGATTTTTGAGATTGTTGATACTCGTTTATGAAAGCTTATAAGTTTTCGTGTATAAACCCGGCCGGTTGATTTTGTATCCGACACATGAAATAAGTTAAGTGAAAGTCTAAAGGAAGTAATCATTAAATTAAATTGTCAGTAATTTAATTTGTTTGGTTAGTATCTGAATCTTAACATAGGGAGTTAAATAAGGTTTAATGGAAGAATTTCGAAATTGAACTAAGGAGCGAAATTACGAATTTTTAGTGGAATAATTCGTAATTTATTATGGAATAAATTAATTTGAAATTTCAAAATTAATTCCATAATAGGAAGCCTTGTTAGTTAAATTATGTGGTCCCTACCATGCCTAAATAATAGGAAATAAAGGAAACCTTTCCTTAGTGGAAGAAGAAAACCTAACAGGTTTTGGAAAAGGGTTTTAACCTAAAAAACGTAGCTATATATACATAGTATATAGCTGGCCATGTTATCACTGGGGAAAAAAACACTTGATTTTCTTCCTTGAATTTCGCCCACCCGAAATTTTCTCTTTTTGGATATTATTTGGGTAACACGGTAAAAGACTGCGGATTTTTATTGAGGTAAGAAATCCCATGATTGGCTAATTTATCGGCCTCTTCTTGATATGTGTCGGGATTCGCGCCAGCCCGATTGCAAATATTTCGACTTTCCATTATTTGGCTCAGTAAGCTTCCTTCGATCTCTATCTTGTTCGGTCTCGATCTTGGTCGATCTTGATCTTGATCGGTCTCAAGGCCACGAGCTCGGCAACCTAACTTTGCATCATTGTTCGATATAAGTCGAGGCTGAACCTCGGCCCATCATGTTCTAGTCTCGATTAGTCATACAAAAAGGGCAAACCCGATTTTGACTGTATACATATAGTTCCCTCGTTTTTCGAGGAGAAAATGAGGAGAAACAATATGCGGGTTCCGTCTCAATGGGTTGTAACGTAAGTGACGAACGTCACTGATATGCCCAATCATGACGTAATCAATGACTTGAAACATCCCGTCGGTCCAGTTACCAAGGTATTAAATGCTTGTCAGTTTCCCTTCGGCCACCATGAGTTCTAAACCGTCACCGGCAAGCTATAAGTACCGTAACTTTCCTCTATTCAAACATTACGTTGAAAGTTTCTCCCATTCTTCCTTCTCTTCAAAGATTTCTTCAATTTACAAATCTTGCACCCAAATTCTTGAACTTTTAACAAAATCACATACTATCCTTATTCCCTTTTCTTCTGTTCTATAATGGCAAAGACTTCCAAAACAGTACCACAAAAAGAGGTCGGATCTTCTTCACGGCCCGCCGGCAACGGAGCGACGGCGGATTATCCCCTTAAGGATTTCGTTCCGGGAGGGTGTCCTAGTGTCGCCAATTTTAGGATTGAAAAGACCTCCTCAGTACCTGATCGATGTGAACAGGTCTCGAGGTACATATACACGATAACCGATGATCTCCTGCCCAAATTTAAAGAGGATTGCCGTTGGGTTGATAAACATGTCATGGTACCTTCACCCGAGTAGTCGATCACTACCCACGTGGAGGGTTTCTTGAGTGTTTACACTTACCCTTTCACGTTGTGTCCCTTAGATCCTATCATTGTCTCCTTCTGCAAGAGGCATGATGTGACCCTCGGCCAGATCCATCCCTCCTTCCGGAGAATAGTGATTCTCTTCCAGTTCTTCGTGAGCAAAATCGAGGGATGTCCTTTCACCCTCGATCACCTTATGCGCCTTTACAGTCTCCGACTCTATCGAGGAGGGATGATTAAGCTTGCTCGCTGGGCCGTCAAGGCCCCATTCTCGAGCATAGACGAGGCTCGAGAACGAGGTTGGATGGGCCGATTTGTCCGATTAAGGACTTCAGACCTGATCCCTGTTGAAGACATGCCGTTTCCTGAAAAATGGAACATGAATCATAAGTATTACTTCACCTTGAATGTCCAACTTTGTCGTTTTACTTCTTATCTTCTTTCCTCATCTATGTTTTTGGTGTTGTAGTTGTGGCTCATGTGCCGGAAGTAGTCCCCAATCTCACCAATGGGTCGAGGGTCTAGTGTCGCAGAGACCATACTCCGAGCGTGCTTGGACGGAGTTATCGAATGGTCAATAGGAGGCTCGTAATCATGGTAATTTTCTTTCTTAGAACAGTTGCTGTTTGGGGATTTTTTCGAGCTTATTCGTCTTTTTTCCTTTGCGGGCCTCGAGAAAGATGTAGCAATGAGGCCCTCGTCTGATGAAGAAGAAGTCCTTCCCCCAGCCACCTGCTTCGAAGCAGGCCAAAGAGAAGAAGAGAAAAAGGGCTTCGACTTCTCTGGGCTCGGAAAAGAAAAGACCAGCGAGGAGGCCCCGCAAGCCTAAAGGGGCACCGGTGCTATGCTTTCGGACTCGATCCACCGATTAAGGGATGAGTCTGAAGAAGAAGAAGAAGAAGAAGATAATAGTTCCAAACTGCTGACCGGCGTGCGGGTCGGTGTCACCGTATAAAAGTCCTCCGAACCGGAGGAGGCTGATGAGGGAGCCTCAGCCGAAGTTCTTGAACCAGAAAGATTTGAGGTCACTCCATCCCAAGCTGAGATGGTAGAGGGAGAAATCGGGGCCGAGGCTTCCCGAGTAGCTGAAGATGTCCCAAGGGACGATCTCAGAATGATTGATATTTCCGAATCCCCTCATTTTTCGGACGCCACGATTCTTGAGGCTAATATGTTGGAAGGTCGCTCTTGCGAGGGTCCTCAAGGGATGGTTGATATCCACGGCTTCTTGGATGGGGTAGAGTTTGCCGCTTTGGGAGATGTCACCGGGCTTGGTGACTTACCCGTGCCAAAGAATGCACCATCATCGGGCAATACAGGGTCTTCATCGAGCCCAAAACTAGTGGACAGATTCCCGGCCCTAAGTGTTAACCCCGATCGTAGGCGTAACATACTGCTTTTTGTCCTGGAGGATTCCCGGGTCTTCTCTCCACCCGTGGGGATTGCTAGCTACATCAGATGCTTGGTGACCGAGGAAGAAAAAGTCGTGATGAATGTAGTGGGAGCCGCTTGCCTGTTCAACGAGTCCCAACATGCTCTGAATCAGGTAACTTCGAGGGCCATTACTGTAACGACCTGGCTGGTTGTTACGAGAGTTGTAGCCCCGTTCCCCTGCTTCTTTTGTGTTCTACAGCTGTATTATGACTTAACAGGTTAGTTGGTTCGGGTCCGGAGAGATTTCAGAAAGAATTGAGACACTTAGCCTCTTATTAGAAAGCTTAAGTTAGAAAGGATGGTCGGATGTTGACTTATGTGTAAACGACCTCGGACTTGAATTTTGATGGTTACGTTAGCTCCGATAAGTGATTTTGGACTTAGGAGCGCATCCGGATTGTGTTTTCGAGGTCCGTAGTGGAATTCTTCGTTCCACGTTTCGAACTATTAAAAGCGATAAAATCCCAATTATCCTACCACACACTTTGGTTCTAATATTTGAAAAACCGACTTACTTGGTTTGGTTTCTTTTTAGAGAAAAACCGATCCAAACCGAACCATGAACACCCCTAACTGTTTGAAACAAATTTTCGATTAACGAAAACTTAATAGCAATAACAAAAATAAAAAATAATAATTTATTGATGAATTTTTGTGGGCACAATTCTGTTTGGTCTCTTGATTTTTCTTTCTGAATTATTCTTCGTGATTCGAGGATTTAAGTAGCGTATTCGAGTGTTTCTCGAATGTTGGATAATATGGACTTCCTGCATTTACAAGAAGTTGTTGATATATTTTTTGATGATCTGATCAACAATAACCTTGTAAGCTTTCTCAGTAGGATGATAACTATCCCAAAACAAATACTTTGTATCATCTTCACAAGTTCCACTAAATTTGTTGCATAGTTTTGCCCCTTCTATTGTTCCTGTGCCACAGCAACCTTTCTCTACTTCTTCAAATCCTACAATCAATTCATAACATATCAAAAAATTGATAAAAGAAATAAACAAAAAAATAAAGAACAAAAGAGGAAGAAGCAACTTTTTGGAGTACGTTTATAGAAGGTTAATATGTATATTACCATATTTTTGGGGATTAAAAATGAGACCAAGTAAAGGATTATATATATCGATGAAGACGAGCTTGGATTGAGGTAATTTTTTGGATAATGAATTAATTGCAATAGAGAATTTGGTGTTGGCCAATTGTGCAGCTTGGTTGTATTCTTGAGAACACATTCTATTAAGCCCTCCAGCAAGTGTTCTTTGTGATGGCAAACATCCTATTGCTGGAATTCCTAAAATCCAAAATTTTCTTGCTCCCAACTTGTACAATTCCTTCAAAAAGAAAAAGAAAAGGTATTATCACTTTTAGTCCGCGTTACAAACTATTTATATTCGATAGCCGAAAAAGTGTATAAAATTTATATAATTTTTGTATATAATATACAGAACATATATATATATATATACATATTTCCAACAACATAATATTTTGAAAGCGATTATACAGTATCAATTTTCAAAAAAATAACACTTGAATCAATATATATGTAATTCACTGAAATTTTATTTTAATTTGTAATCAATGGTACTCCCTCTGTTCCAATTTATGTGAACCTATTTCTTTTTTGGTCCGTTCCAAAAAGAATGAACCCTTTCTAAATTTGGTAACAATTTAACTTAAGTTTACAATTCTACCCTTAATGAGAAGCTTTTATAACCACACAAATTCACATAGATTGGAACGGAGGGAGTACTAAAGAACAATCTTTATATACGGAATTCTTTCACTTTGAGATCAGACAACTATTTTTCGAATAAATATGAATATGTTGTGTTATTTTTAATATATGCCTCTTATATATTAATTGACTCATACATCATACTAGTAATTATTTTCAATATTCTGAGTCATAATTGGTAAACATAAAATGAAAATAGGCATAAAGGTATATATACTAACTTTGAGAAATTTAGAAGCTTCGGCTACCATTAGATCAGTATATGAGTTAATATCCTGCTTCAAGCGAATTCCAGCAGTGAAGTAAGTATTGGCTAGATCGTCAGTGCCAGCAACCACCATAAATAAGCTATTTTTCAGAATATAATTAGCTTCTTCTTCCCCAACTAAACCTTTCAACTTCCCAATATATTCTATGAACTGAGTTAATTGTGTTGCTAGGGGTATGGCTGCCTGATTAACATTTAGAAAAAAATAGGACCAAGAATTAGTGTTGGGAATTTGCTAATTATACTGGTTAAATCCACCATAAATAAATACTCACTCCGTCTCAAATTATCTGTCGTGTTTCTCATTTCATGCCCTTTAAGAAACATTATTTAAGATGGGGGTTGGACTATGTTACCCTTATTTTTGTCTTAAGATATAATCTCTCTTTATTGAATATTTATTCTATTTATATGCTATTTCCATCTTCAAAAACAATTATTAGTAGGGGTAAAATAGGAAAAAATATAATTTATTTTGTCTCGAACTTCTAAGTTGAGACTAACTATTTCTAGAAAGCACGACAAATAATTTAAGACGGAGGGAGTACTAAAAATGGTTAATTATTTTAACCAAATCGATAATATAATGCGTAAAGAGTTACCACGAGAGTAGCTGTTAGAGGATCATATCCACAACCTCCTGATGCAAAGCTTACTCCAGTTTTTAGATCTTCAGTTTTCAAATTTGGATCTAGATAAGCCGGTATGAGATTTTTTATCCCTAGTTCGTCCGCTGAAATTGATGGAAAGCGTTCAACTGAATCCAGTATTTTGACACATAATATAGACATATATACGTAGAGTAATATTTTAACCTAATATTAGGTTATGAATTTCAAAAGTACAATAAATTTAATATTAAGAACTTTAAATACTGAACGCATAAAATGTAAATGGAGACTTAAAAATACTACCCATCATATCCGGCGGTGTCTTGCCATTGCTGAACCTTCCGGTTGGTATTCCGCCCATGAAATCCTTACCATAAGGCTGAAAATTACACTTTATTAGCGTCGTTACATTGTTATTATTTCCTTGATCCACAATTGAATCTCCAAAAGCAAACACTGCCTTAAAAATCACGTTCTGTGGGAGCTTAACATTTGCTTCACATACACTAAACAACACAAAATTAACATAGAGTAAAACCTTGACCCTATACAACAAAAACTTTACTATGCCAAAAGAGAACATTGTATATAACTTAAGACACTTCCTTTTCAATAAAACGAACAAAAGAAGGTGTGGGATTTATAAAGCTTTGCAAATGTCGTGTGTACTTGAGTAGCTAGTACATGCTACCGATATATGGGTAGCCTCTTTGGTCGAATTTACTCTTTACTTCCTCGCTTATATATTCAACTGACTATTTTTATTTTAAGTGGTTGGGTAACATGCTATTTCAGTTAATTCTTCTGAAAAGTAAACCAAGAATAACGTTAGAGTACCTCGTTGGTGTATAACCAGAAAATAGGAAGTTCGGTCAAAGCGTAATTTTAGAAGAACTCAGGTTACTGATAATCGTATAAGGAAATAATTGTGTAACAAGAGAAGAAAAAATTGGACTGAGAAGTAGTAGAATAAGCAATTGAAAGCAATGTAAATAAGTCTATTCCAATAATAAACAGTGTGTCCTTACAAAAATTATTCTTCTCCTTTTATAGCTATATCTAAGTAATACGTTTCTTTTCTCTCATAATAGAGTCATTATGAGCAATTATTGACATTAATGTAACGTTATAATTGGCAGTCGTAACTATTTCGTGAAGATTCTATAACTTTTCCTATCATTGATGCTCATTAATTACAAATAATACGTATCTGTACTTTTTGCTAGCTAGGTTCATTCCTTCGATATCTCTTCAAATTATCCAGAGATCAGAGTAACCGTTCCTTCTTGTTTTCTTGTATCTTTGCCCGTACCTAATAAAGCTCGCAGCTCTTTGAATACTCTTTGCTAACTGTCACTCTTTTATTGATCCACGTATCTTGACATGTCAGCACATAATTAATTCCACATGTTAACTCGATTTTTCGCAATACAGATAGTCCCCCCACTTGACATTTATTCAGCAGTTGAATATTTGGGAAGTGGATCTCATTAAAGCGGGAATTTTTGCCGCCATTCCACATATCATTATACCTTCTCCAGAACTGACACTTCGCATGTCACTTCCATTTAATGCATGTGACACGTGTCGGCTTTTAATTGGTTCGGCAACCCATCAGCGTCTTTTATTTACGGCTACATCAATAACGAAGTGACAGTTTTCATTATGACGTTCCCATCATTACCTTTTTGTTTGACGGTTGCTTCTGAGTATAAGTATATTCTTTGTCTCGTCTTTTATAGAAAAGTTTTTCATCTTTGACTATTCAATCTTCTTTTCTTCTTCGTATAGCTCTGTCTTCTTGAAACCCTGATCCTCAAAAAGTTCTTATCGTAGATGAACTTCCTCTTGCTCCTACTAGGAGCAGGGGAGGGGGTGGATTACGTAGTTTAGGATCAGTTTCTATTCGAGGTTCTTCTTCCTCTTCACCTAGCTCCACTCCTCCTTCATCTTCTAGAACTAGGGCTTGTCTTTCTCATAGGTCTTTTTCCAGAAGTAGGGATTCCAATGAACCAGTTCGTGAACCTACAGTAGACGAAATTATCCCTTCTGAAGTTTCGTTTTATACTGATAGAGAATCAATTAGAAATCATGTTTCTTCTATGTCCTCTCATGATCGTGCCGATGTTTACCCTTCACAGATTACTGAAAGTTTGATCTGTGTTGTCCGTAGAGATTGTCATTGGAGGCTTGATTTCCCAATTCTGATCCCTAATGCAAATCAAAGGATCACTTCCTTCAAGGCTGGCTTTTCTTTTGTGTATACATACCCCTTTACATTGGACTTTAGACCCCCTATTGACACAGTTATTATTGAATTATGTCGCTTTTTCAATGTGTGTTTAGGACAAATTGGTCCTATTATATGGAGGGTTGTTGCATGTTTAAGATACTCGGCTAATTTGGCTCAATTGCCTTTCACCTTTTTTCATCTAATCCACCTCTACTCCCTAAGTTGTTCCGTCATGGGATCTTTACTTTGGTGGCGAGGAGTAAGAGGGTTTTAGTCAGCCCTGAGGACGATAAAGATCGTAGATGGTAAGCCCGAATTGTTGATGCTCCTACAGTAGGGTTAGTGGATGAAGAAAATATGTCATTCCCTGAAAAGCGGAATTTTTCACGTAAGTTTTATTTACAACTTTCTCCCTTCTCTTTTTTTTATAAAAGAGTCCGTACTTCCCGTGACTGTTTTGCTTTTCTTCTTTCAGCAACCATGGGAACTGTTGAAGAGATTTCCAATTTTCGTGGTTGGATAGAGAAATTGTTGACCATTGCTCCGATGGAAGTTAGATCTTGGAAGTACCACTCAAACAGGTTTGGTAGGAAGGTTAAAACTCACGATAAAAAATTTCATTCTTTTCCTTCTATTTTTATTCTTTCTTTCTTTAGAATGTATTTAACCCTTCTTTTTATTAGGGTTTCCTATTCGTGGCATAAGTGCTGAGTCGATCGCAGCTTCTAGACTTTCTTTGGCTAGAGCTCAGGAGATAATCTTGAGTTCTTCATCGAAAAGGAAAGCTGACAGACCCCAGATTCTGAAGACGAGGAGGAAGGGGATGGAAGTTCTTTGGTTAGAAAGCCGCGGGCTAGAAGACGCGTCATTTCGGATGACGAAGTTACTCCTCCTCGTTCTGTTCCCGCAACCGAGCCTGTTGAAGCCACTTTAGTGAGTTCTGACGAAGAGACCCCCATGGCAGCTCGTGACTCTGATGAACAACTTTTTTTCGCGTGGGTTTGATAATGAAGGCTTTGATTTGGTGTCTGAAGAAGTACCTATTGCCTCTTTCCCCGTATCTGTCCCAATGGAACGCCCTTTGCTGTTCTTACTGCTGATGTTTCTGCTCCGTCTCAAGCCATTATGACTTCCTCTACAGTCCCCGCTATTAATATTTCTCGAACTGAAGTCGGTTCTTCAAGTGGAAGTAGAGTGATGAAGCAAATTACCATTGAGGTTCCTGCCGATGGTAATCTTCTGAAGAAGTCAGGCCAAGCTAACGTATGGTCGAAACTGGATACTTTACCTCACAGATGGACCCGATTTTTAAAAGTTTTTGCACCTCATCTGGAATCACCTAATTCTTGAAGGAGCCTTGCCTTCTTTTCTTTTGTTTGATAGGTGGGTACGATGGATCTTCATTCAATTTGTGAGTCATTACCTCCAGTTGTATACCAGTCATATCTGAAGGGACCAAGCAAAACCATCCGCATTAGCCTTTAAAAATTCAATCAACTTACATATAATCTCCGGGCTGAGGTTGGTCCCAATGTAGACTTTTCTGTCTGGCCAATGTACAAATAGTACCACAGCTTCGAGTTCCTCGATTGTTGTTTTGATGTTTTAATTTTCTTCTGGTTCTTGAATAGTATCAGGCCTCGAGTCTACATCTGTTTGCCCGTCTTCAGTTGAGGCTCGTGTTGCTGCATCCTCAACTGAATTTTGTGATTATTATTTTTCCTCACTCTTTGCGCTTGAATTTGCCAAGGAATTAATGCTTCGAGAAGCTTTTTGGTCACCACGGATTTGCCGTATTTCCCATTGTGAAGGGAACTTGATAGCTTGATGTAAAGTCGATGGAACAACATCCATTTCGTGAATTCATGGTCTGCCAAGAATCATATTGTAAGCCATATCCATTTCTACTACTTGAAATTTGGTATCTTTTACTACTCCTTCTGCAATTGTGGTGAGATTATCTCCCCTTTTGTTTCGACGCTCGAGTTATCAAAACTAGACAAGGTGTGTGCCTTAGCTTATCATTGGCTTGCATCTCGTTTATCACTCTCAAAAGAATAATATTCACAGAACTACCTGGATCAATCAAAACTCATTTTACATTAGTGTCATATACAGTAAAGATATTACCTATGCATCATTATGTGGGGTCAGCACGCCATCTGCATCTGCATCATCAAATGTTATACTATCTTCTTCCAAAACTTGTCGAACTCGCTTCCCGTGGGTGACTGTAATTTTTGACACCTTTTTTGCTGTCGTATACGTTACGCCATTGATTTCTTCCCCTCCACTTATGACATTAACCGTCCTTTTTGGTGAAGGAGGTTTTGGTGGTTCCTGCCTATTTTTCATATATGCTTGCTTTCCCTTTTCACTAAACAATTCAGTTAAGTACCCTTGTTTTAATAAATGCTCTATTTCACCTTGTAACAATCTGCAATCCGCCGTTTTGTGATCGTGATCGTTGTGAAACTCACACCAATAATCGGGATTTCTCCTTTTTGGGTTTGATCTCATTTCTTTTGGCCACCGTACCTTGTCTCACATGCTCATTAAAACAGCCACCAACTCGGATGTGCTAACATTAAAACTGTAACAGCAGATTTTTGCTTTTGATCCTCAATCGTCATCTCTCATGTTTCGCTCTTTTCCGAACCTTGACGACGAACCTGATTCTCTATCCCTTGATCTAGGATCATACCTTGGGTTTTCCTATTTTGAACGCGAATCCCTTCCTGCTGGCCCCATATAAGGTTTGTACCTGTTTTTACCGGTCCTTTTTTTAGTTTCCGCTCGCCTTGAACTTACTCTTTCATCTTTCCGAGACTGAGTGATGTTATCTTCTTCTATCCGCAGCTTTGTGCTGTATCTATTATAAACATCATTCCAAGTTGTTGCTGGGAATTCTCGCAAGCTTTCTTTGAGTCTTCTCGTGGCTTTCAAGCTTTTTTCATTCAGATTACTGGCAAAGGCCATAGCCACCCAGTAATCAGGTACTCGTGGCAACATCATTCTTTCACGCTGGAATCTGTCTACGAATTCCCTGAGCAGCTTCGTATCTCCTTGTTTTATTTTGAGAATGTCCTCCATTCTCTGTTCAACTTTTTGAGCTCCCGAGTGTGCTTTGATAAACGAATCTGCAAGCTCAGCAAAAGAATCAACAGAATTTTCAGGTAAAAGAGAATACCATGTTAATGCTCCTTTCGTAAGTGTTTCTCCGAATTTTTTGACTAGTACTGATTCAATTTCTTGCTTGGTCGAATCGTTACCCTTTACCCCAGTTGTAAATACAGTTACGTGATCCCGTGGATCAGTTGTTCCATCGTATTTCGGAATATCAGGCATCTTGAATTTCTTTGAAATCGGTAAAGGAGCGGCACTTGGCTTCCAAGGTTGTTGAGAGTATTT